TGGTTTTATGGTTAGCTGTCTTGTTCATGGTTTTTTACTACAATTAAAGTGGTGATTCTTAATCTTTGACTATTATCTAGCTATCTGACGAATAAATTGGTAACATTTTGTTTCATTACTGGACTTGCCCATGAGACAGATACGCAGACTTGCGTGACTTTGTGATGCCTTATCAGCTGTTTGTTGGTACTTATTCACTTGAGACCATAGTGCAAAGCAATTTTGATTCCAAAATAGTCCTTAGCTTTGTACTTTAGTTTGTGCAAGGAACTGGAGAAAGGTTGTGCTTGAGTAATACATGCAACTGGAGAAGCCACAATTACCTGCTTAAAGGATGATGTCAAAGAAATTAGAAGATCCAACTAGTGATTTTTTATATAAATAAATGAAATTGATTTTATGTTTCCCAAATGGTGCACTTGTGCATGTAGACATTCAAATGGTTCTCAAATGATCTGTTAGATCACTGCACAATTTTATAGAGGAGCTCTCGAGTGATCATAATCTCTATAGTTTCTTGTCATAACGATGACCTTTGACTACACCACTGCTCTGTACATTTCGTGAAACAGATAAGTGATGGGTGGCCCCCACCCAAATCTTCTCCAGCTATTCCCACTGAGAAAACAAATAAATAAAATTACTGTTAGTTAGTGTGTCCAAACTGTAGAGGCATGAAATTCTATTGATAGATATCAGGCTTTCTCATCTCAGGAAGGTACGATTCACCAAACATCATGGTCTCATGCACTAGAATTACCGAGCATGGTTCAAAGTCGTGGTCGCGGTCTGGACCGTTCCACATCAGTCTCGGCATATCAATCATGGTCCTAGCAACACGCAAATTTGGAAGCATTTAATATTCTAAAAATTGTGAATAATATTCAAAAAATGCTAAACAAAAATAATTAAAAAAAGCAAAAGAAAATTTGTAAAATGTAAATTTGCGAGTTGACTCGGGATGACTCAGGCCAACTCAGCTGAGACTATCTGTATCGGAGACTTCTCAGCCGAGTTCTCGGCGAGTCAAGTATTTGGGAGTCATCTCATCCTGGTATCGTATCGGAGGGGTCCGTTCCGGTGACGACTCAGCTGAGTCGTTTCAGTCTCGGCCGAGACTTTGAACCATTTTACCAAGTCAGTTTTCTCTTTTCATTGTTTTTCTTGCCGTGACCAGCTCACATGCTTTTTTAACATGTGACACCTACTTATCTGCCTCCTCCCCTTCCCCCCCCAACACCCCCCCCCCAAAAAAAAAAGAAACCAATCATGGTGTCCTGCACTAGAATTTACTGAGCCAGTTTTCTCTTTTCATTGTTTTTCTTGGCATGACCAGCACACATGGCATTTTTGTTGTGCTTTTTTAACATATTACACCTACTTAACTGTCTTCCTCCCCCCCCCCCTCTTTTCTTCTTTCTTTTCTTCCTTTTTCTTCTTTCAGCAAAGACATTTTATTGGGTTATATAATTCTCTTTTCTAGCAAATAAATAAACATTATTACTGTTACTTTTTTTTTTGGTCTCATATGCCCTACCTCCTGTGCGGATCAATAGTTTTACAGCCAGAGCTGAGTTCCCTTCTGCGAATGCTGTAATGGACGGGTTTGGTGGAGCTGATCTTACAATTTCTAGAATGCTAAAGAGACGGTGGTCCTGATCTCCACTAAGATGCTTGATGCCAAGAATGTTCAGCGTGACACTTGTCGATGAACTGACCAGACTTAATTTGGGTTCAAGGCCTTGCTGCAAGAACAAGATGTCCTGACGTGTACTACCATTATGCACATTCCAGATGGCACTTTTCCATGGTGTCATTCTTGAAACAAAGCATATTTTGAACCTATGCACTACCAGTCGTGTAAGAATTCATGGTGTCATTCTTGCTACAGTTGAATAGGAATTAGTCCTGGTGTACTGCTTAGGACAGCTGAAGCTAATTTTGAACCTATGCACTACCAGTCGTGTAAGAATTCATTTTTCAGCTGATCAGGCATTTTCCTTCTACTGCCTCCCAATAACTTGAGCCCAGCTGCATGTGTTTTGCTGATTTTGCTCTAGGGGTTTTGACTTCATGAATTGCTGTGTTTAGATCAGGATTTTGAGACTAGTTGATCACATTATGATCATGTTGCAATCGTTTCTTCATATGTTTCTGCTTCCCATTTCGGTGTTTCTTCTATTTCTGACAATTTGACTTCTGGTGGGCATTGGAATCGTGGACACTGGAAAGTAAATTTTGTTTAAACTTATCCCACAAGTGGAAGTTGGAAGCTTTGCAAATTTGCACAAAGACTAACGCTCTTTTAGAAGCAGAAACGTATTGCGTTGTGCCACTTAGTTATCTCTAGCAACATAAGTATCACCTTTGGAAGTGTGAAAGATTATTTACAGAGCATAGGAAAACCCAAATCTCTTTTTGTTTATCATCACAAATTTTATTGAAAAATCAAGAGAGAATCCTAAAACTACAGGGGGCCGATGAGCATATAAAACCAAAGAAAAGAACAAAAAGGATTTGGCAAAATGGTCCAGAATTTGAAGGACTATGCTAGAAGAGTCGTTGTTAAGAAAGCAAGAGAGCAAGCTGGGAAAGCTTTTTATTCATATGAAGGACAAGTAAGCTGCAGGTGTTTACTTACTTCCAACTATCAACAATTTATTCGTGTTTCTTATCCAATTCTAATCTTTTAGGTTCGTAATGGTCTTCCACCACGATAATGACTCCATGCCAAGGGTTTGGACTGGGAAGGAGGACGTTAAAGCTATTACACGAAGGGCGCTCTGCAGTAATTTGCAGAGATATTCTGTGTTGCAGGAGAATGATGCTTAATATTTGGTGGATTAGTGAATGTTTCTAAAATGCACATCTTTTTGGCAGGATCGCAAATATTTTGTCAGTGTTGGCTGCCATACGCATGGATGAGAAACCAGATAAGATAAAGAGTTTCCTGTCCTCTATTCTTAATTCATGGTTCAAAGACTCGGCCGAGACCGAGACGACTCGGTGGAGTCGTCACTGGAACGGTGCCTTCTGTTCCGATACCGTGACGAGATGATTCCAAGATAATAGATTGCCGAGAACTTGGTCGAGACGGATAGAAATGATTGAGTCATCCCGATTCAATTCGAATTTTTATTATTTTTGTTTATTATAATTTTTAGAATATTAAATGTTTCAAAAATTTGTGTCTCACCAAAATCACAACCGATATATTGAGACCGATGTGGAACGATCCGGCGGCTTTGAAACATGATTCTTATTGATGGCACAGTTGCCATATCTTCCTGGAATAGACGTTCTGGTGTCGTTGGAGATCCTCTTGCTTTGAGCACATGAGAAGGGGTGCTAGGTTCTACATTATAGTTGGCTTTCTTCTAATTGCATGGCGTAATCTCTCAGTATATACTTGTGCAAAGAATAACCATTATGTGCAAGAATGTGTAAGTTCTAAATAGCACGACGTACGGCTATTCCAGAACTCCTTTCAGATTTTATTTGCCTTGATGCTCTTATTGAGCATGGAACTAGCAATATTACAGATGATCAGCATTAACTCATAATCCATCTCAAATGCAACTAGAGATATCTAGGAGATCGATCTCCATCGACATACAACATTAGCTATTGAACTTAGAACCCTAAACTTCTCTAGCTATATACATGCAGCTCAATGCACATCTCAGAATCTTCTAAGCCCAAAAAATCCAGGGATGTCAAGTGCAAATGCAGGCAATGACCATGTAAAAAAAACCTAGATAAGCAACTATTAGAACGGAAGGAAGAAAGAAGAATAACCTTATGATGAAACACAGTGGATAAGGTCAAACCATGCATATCTCAGCCATCAATCTGCAGCCTCCCTATCAGCCCTCTTCCCGAGTTTTCGCCACGTTTTGGCTAGCTCGTCACTGTCAAATTCATTCATCTTCAGACTGTTGCCTGTTGTAATAACAAATCATCCACTGCTTTAAGCCCCCAACTGCTGAGGCAAAAAGGCTAATCCACCAGGGAAAATATTCTACAAGTGGATCCTCAACCTTCTCTTTTAGCTGTGAGGGGCCCCTGGTCTAAAATCGAACGCCTGGAGGAGGGAGGCATTTAACTTTTAAAAAAAAGGCTGCCAGGCCTCCTCTCTCTCATAAATTATCCAAAAGAACAAAATCGGTTTTAGAGCCCATGCAGACCAAGTCTTCCATTGCAGGGAATTTACAGGCAAATCAAATTTAGAGCCCATGCCAACCCAGTTTTCCAGTGCCGGGAATTCACAAGCAAAGCGGCAAGTGGTGTCTTCTTGTTGGAAATTCTTGCAATCTTAGTGTAGAAAAGAAAAATAACTCTTACACATAATCTAGTGACTACAAGAGAAAATACATTTTAACCAGTAGAGTTGGTGCAGTGACTAGAGAAACACTCTTGGAATCTTCTCCAAAAAAACTTTACAAAGTTCGAAAAAGAGAGAGGATGCATTTTATTTGTTTCGGGTTTCAGAGTTTTGCACCCAATAAATGTTGTTTACCTGATAAACATTAATTGGGATTCGTTTGATAAAATTGAAATCCAAAATTTGAAGCCTAAAATTTAAAATCTGAATCCATTAAGTTATTAAATTGTTAAGTATTAAACCTAACAGCATCATATTCAAAGATAAGTTATTACTTATCACTTAATTTTGAAAACAAATTTTGTCTAAAAAATTCAATGCTACTTAATTAACTCAAATGTTCAATTTTTAACTATCAAACGATTTGAATATGTTAAAGATCTAATTTCATTAAATTTAAGTGACAAATTAAGTTATTAAACAGGGCCTCTTTCCTTATCCAAACAAAAATGAGAACCAAATTTCCTTCTTACCTCGTTGTTGTTCGCAGATGCTTTTAGTTGGAACGTCTAAGTACATGTATTCCACCATTTGCATGCATCGCTCTATCCCACCATACAATTTCTCCCGATTTCGAATGGTGAAAACGTAAAAGAACTGAGCCCCAAAACAAAAATGGAAAAATACAGGAAACTGGAAGCATTTATTCTATAAACATAACAAATTATACATAGAAGTGTCAGAATACGAACTTTTGGATCAAGAAAACTCCTCGTGTTCCACATTTGTTACTCTTCTGCGAGTTAGCTGAGGACTCGAGTACTCAACACCAGTTTCACTTGAATCGTTGGAAGAAACAGATGAATCCATAGTTGAAGTAGATGTTGAGGTGCGTGTTGGCGTCTGACTTCTGAAACTCTGAGAAGCTAGAGTTTGAGTGTGTCTGGCTGGTTCATGAGCTGGGTGCCCTTGAGCTTTGGCAGCGAGTTGCCTCAGAAGAATCATAACTGTAGGAAAGAACCTTGAAGCGACGGAAATTAGTCCAGCCATCTGCAGAAACCAAAAGATTGTTAGAATTTTGTCATTCTTTACAGCAGAAGGGCTTTTCTCATTCATAAAGCGTCGGACAGGATGGATCGGTAACTGACAAAGATCAAGTATAGGTGACATTACCAGTGATAACTTGCCTAACCTAGAAGATAGCAGGCATCCAATCACAAGGTGTATAGCCAAAAAAATCATATAGTAGTTTGACTATCAATCGTTTATTTCGCAATCTGCGGGGCAAGAAAGTACATGCCAGTTCTCATCTTTACATGAAAGAAATTGCAATGACACCAGAAATTTGATGAAACAACCTGAATTTTCCGAAAGAATTCGATCAGCATAAATTTATCTCATATAGGATCAGAGTATGACAGGGAGAATGGAAGCAGGTATCTTTCTCACACACCCCAATTAGCCAGCTCTATGTGTCTTCCTTTATTCTACCTTCTGCATTCAGAGCTACTTGAAAATTTTCAATCTCTTTCAATGAAATTAGCATATCTCATCTCCATTCCTCACCCTTCATTGTTCTTATTATATACTCTTTCAACACATCAATATGATCAAGACAAGGGTATCAGAACTTTGATAAACTTTAATCATATATCAAAGTTTCCATAACGAAAACAGGAACTGTGTGCAACGGTGAAAAACAATTTCAAAGCAGATGGTCCCAACAGTCAGCTACCAGTAGGTGCAGGTACATGCACCAAATGATTCCCACTATCACTCACAACGGATGGTAAAAGAAGTAGCTAGATGTGTTGTCATTCACTAGGAGCATATAACTTTAAATATAATTCTAGATATGTATTCCTCCATTTTAACCCCGTATACTATCACTGGAATGACTAGAGTGAAAATTAATTGACCAATATGCTGAAAATTTAAAAACTCAATACCAGGAATGGGCTTTACATGTATTCAAACCATCCAATAGATGACTGCCACCATCGTTCACAACGGCTGGTAACAGGAGTAGCCAGTTATGATGTTAAATAAAAAAAACCGCATAGCTCTAAATTATATTTTCTTCCATTTTAACCCAGGCATACTGTTACTTGATCTGACAGGACTAAGAAATGAATTGACCCATATTACACTTTCATCCCAAGAGCCAATGTGAGCAGATTTCACTCATAATCTCAAACGCAATATGAGTCACTGGTTTTACTGATATTGGAAGTTTAAACATTTTTCCCATCTGGAAATACATCCAATTTACATTATGCATCTTGCAGAGAATGGAAAAGAGTCATTTTTCCCAGGAAAGAAGGTCCTTATCCAAGCTAAAGCATTAAACTTGATGCCCAACAACGTTATTATGAGTCTCTCAATCTGGAAGGCATTAACTAGGATCTAAATCACTATCATTAGCAATTTTTTCCACGAAGTTGCTGAGGTAACAGGTAAAGTAAAAGACAAATCAAATAGAGACTGAGTACCAACAAGAAAAAGGAAGGAAATACAATAGAAGCTACTCACGGTGCCATTTCGAAACTCCCCAGGAATGTCCATCTGTTCCCATATGGCTCTCCCAAATAAATATATAACAAACAGGGCCAGCATGTAAAGAGGATTTCTGTCACATGCAAAATAAAACAAGATAACATACTTCACTCTTTGAAGAAAATGCTGAAATTGCAAAAGAGTATTCCATCAATTGGAGGCATATGGACTACCGAAGAACAAGTTTTTAACTCGAACCCATCAGATCAATACCTCAAAAGAAACATGAACTCATTAAATCCAAGCACAGCCATTGCCATGATAGCCCAAGCAGGAGGTAGCCAATTATTGCTGCGCTTGTATGCCTCCTGAAATGAGATATGTTTTGACTCACAACGGTTAAAAATAGCTCTCATGATGCAAGAACTGATTTGAGGCATCATTCATACCAAGATTTACCAATGAACAGATAGAGAAGCTTCACTTGTCTCCAGTTATGCAACTTAAACTGCATAAAGTAGGATACCCCATTTTTTTCCTTTATTTGTTTAATTTGCTGCTATATTAAGTTCAAAAATACAGACCCCCACATATTAATTTCAGATGAGATCATTCTTGTTATTTTTTCATTGATTGTAAACCCGTTTTTAAAACTAGATTCCATGAAAACAATTAATCCCTTAATGAACAAGACAGAAACACATAAATAGTGCTGTACCCGTGCAGATATAGCTTGTGTAACCACATATTCTGTTTCTGCAGTAAATGTTCTCCATATAGACTTGCACTGCACTGGACTAATTAGTGTGTTCTCAGGGGGCACCTGTAACAAACACATACCGAAAGATTACACCACGCAATTAGAAGAAAGCCAACTATAATGTAGAACATAGTACCCCTTCCCATGTGCTTGAGGCAAGAGGATCTCCAATAATTCCAGCACCTCTACTCCGGGAAGATATGGCAACCGAGCCATCAATAAGCATAGAGGACAGGACATTCTCTATCTTATCTGGTTTCTCATCCAAGCGTACAGCAGCCAACACTGACAAAATGCTGACAGCCTACCAAAAAGAAGTGCATTTTAGAAACATTGATTAACCCACCAAATATTAAGTATTATTTCCTCCAGCAGAATATCTTTGCAAATTACCGCAGAGCGTGCCTCATGTGTAATTGCTTTAATGTCCTCCTTCCCAGTCCATACCCTTGGCAATGAATCATTATCATGGTTGAAAACCATTGTAAACCTAAAAGATTAGAATTGGATAAGTAACATGAACAAATTATAAACAGCTGAAGTAAATAAACACCTGCAGCCTACTTGTCCTTCATATGAATAACAGCTTTCCCAGCTTGCTCTCTAGCTTCCTTAACGACAACACTTCTAGCATAGTCCCTCAAATTCTGGACCATTTTGCCAAATCCTTCCTGATCCAGTTCGAAACCAGCAGCGGCTGTGGAAAAGCCTGATACAGCTCCGTCTGCCTCACGTCTCAGAAGCCTTCTTATTGAAGCCCACGTGTCTTTGCCACCAGTGTCAAAAAGGGATTCCACTGGTTCACCAAGTCTTGCACTAAGTTGTTTCTATCAAAGGAAATATATGAATGCTTTATTTTTTTTCTGTTAATAAGCATGACAACATGAAGATAAACCTGTCTTCCACAGGAAAGGAAAGAATAGCTAAGCAACAAACAGTGTAACCTTGGTGGATCAATTATGAGTTATTACCTCAAATTTAGCAATCAGTTGTGACAACTTTTCAGCACGAACAGAAGATGCATGAGCCTGCATATCACGTTGAAGCTTCTCACGAATTTTAGATGCATCCCAATCAGCATGCTTTATCACAGCATCTAAAACAAGGACAAAGCACTCAAATGAAGCAAATTACAACTGTATGGTAAACCATTCCCACACCACCAACTAGAGATGGAGAGATAGGGCAGAAAGATATTCTCAACACTTGAAGGTCTGAAAGATATCACGCAGAAAAAGCAGCAACAAGCCCGCATTGTTGCTCAAGAACCATTTTGGAATTAATGGAGGCCTAAAAGCTGAACCAGAAAGCTGGTTAATCACCCTTACCAGTCAATATTATTACAATGTATCTAATTAGGACCTCCAATGCTTTTGGCCAAAGAAAAGTGAAAAGAACACAACAAATGAGACTCAGAAAATGCAACTCCTTTTAGAATGTATTATAACATTTGACTGAGGAGATGTGTCAATTGTTGCTTCCCAATACTTTGTGCTTCATCCATAGCAGTCTGACTCATTTATGTACATTAACAGTTCCCAAGTTTTTTCTGCTTTATCCCTTAAACTATCTTTTTGTCACAAATAGTAAAGGAAGTTCTTAGAAGCATGTAATTCAGGCCCTTCCATGGTTTTAGTGGTTAACCGTGACAGAAAGTATGATAAGCTAGCCAACTGAAGGAACAGTGGCACCAGAAACCACATTTGTTGGAGGAGAAAATACAAACTCTTAAAAGGGGGAGAATGGGTTGCTATAAATAGTATATAAAAGGCCAGACAGAAGGAAGATGGGAAGAAGTAAGGGGTGAATGGCATACTGGGATGAGATAGAGGAGAAAGAGGTGGCAAGCTAGGAGGCAGAGATTGACTGGGGAGAGCTATACAAGTACCTAGAATGGTTGCTGACTCAACTTTTTAAGGCATAAAATTATGACAATACTGTCCAATTCAGCAGTGAGCTTGACAGAAAATAAAGCATTTCATATGCACAAGGAAGCTTTAAAGGTAAATCTGCCAAATCGCCTTCAAAATCTCTCACATCGTCTCCATGACTGGTGCATTTCAGCACCAGCTATTGTAGCTGATGTCTCTGTTAGTCCACACCTTACATGCATCATAGGGGAAAAAAATACCCATAACACCCACGTCTACAGGTATTTGGCCAATTTCAAGTTATTTAATTCAATTTCAATTTCACTATCCTTTTATACTCCACCCTTCCACAGTAGGTGACACTTTAGCAACACCTATAATATCCCGCCATGGCAAAATGCAACACAAAGACTAACACATAACCTACGTTTTAAGAGGTGCATTGCTGTCTATAAAGAATCCACAAGTTTGACCATGAAACATATCCAAATGTAAAAGAATAACCTGAACAACCCTTGTCAAACTCGAGCGTTGAGGATTGCATACAACTATTAACAGAAGCCACAAACCCTTCTCCTCTAGATAATTTTTGCTCAAGTTGAATTTTGAAATTCATAAGTGCACTAGAACGCAGATGCCCCAACAAAGTAATGTAAGCAGGATGGACCAACTGCACAACACAGGAATTGTCAGCATATGACAGATCATAGCAGACTGAAAAGCTCAAAAACTATCCCAGTTTGATTTTCAACAGCAGAAAGAGATGACGAATCATGTAATGATACAAAGGAGAGAATAATATGTTAGGGATATCGAAATCATGCCAAGAATAGAAAAAGAAAGTAGAGAAGGGGAAACCAGAAACAGAAGAAATCTTAAAGATTAAAAGTTCAATCAAACAACTGAATGAAAAGGACCATTTGCTGGATATAAATAAAGTAATATCCATACGAACAGATAAATCCCAATGATAATTCACTCCAACAAAATCTGATGTCAAAAGCATTAGTACAAGTTTCATGATCAATGGCTTTGAGTTTCTAGGTATTGACTGAGTTTACAGTGACTTTAAAAACTATACTATCTTCTCTTCATTGCTTTCTAGCAAAGCTGCAAATCTGTAATTAATTTATTAATTTATGATCTACTTACTAGAGAAAAGAAAAATGGGGAAAAATGAAATACATTAACCCTCTACAAGATAAAATTCTCCAAATCTCTTTCACAGTTTTGTTGTAGCTGTCATTTTCTAATACCCATACTCTTCATGATTAGCTTGCAAACTACACTAAGTAAAACAAGAAAAAGGGAATTAATACTACCATTGACCTTTTAAAACTCCTCAAAATGAGTTATCCATCTAGTGGTTTCACAAAATTTGTGCTATGTAATTGGATTACTGAGGAAACTATGCAAAATGACTCATAAAAGTGAACTTCATGAGAATCTGAAGAAGATCACAGAGCTTGTAGATGTCATGAACAGAGGAATACTAAATATAGCAGAAGAATCCTAAAAGAACACTACCAACCTGTAATGCTTTTGACTTCAGCAGCAGACGCTTGGCATTTCTGACACCTTCTTCAAAGTAGACAGCCTCCATATCATATCTATTACATGTTATAACCAATTAAACAATCTCAAGTCCTATGTTACTTTTCCCAATGTACCTGAGCTCAAGAAGAAAATAAAGCAGCACTACAGTACAAATCCAGTATATATAACCTGAAGTCTCCATTCATATTTGTAGGGCCACACACCAAATAAAGCTTTTGTCAATACTACATGAAGATGATAAAATGTTGCCAATGTATTTTATTTTCTTCAAGCTATATGAACTGTCTACATGTTTGAATCTAGCAAACCAACTGAATCAAGATATTTTTTAAAATAATTAACTTGTTTACAAATGATCACATGTATAAGAAATCCAGTGATCTCCACAGCAGGATCAGTGAATGGTTCTTGCAGAATTCTCAAGGGCAAGAATTTAACTGTCCAGGTTTCTTGGTGATAAGGAAAATCTTCACATAAGTTATCAAAGAGAGCTTTAACAACCATCTAGATGGAATGACATTGGATTGCAGCATCAGCAACAATTTATTGTTAGATTTGATTCTTGAAGAGCAAAGTATGAAATTATCCGGATGGCTAGTTAAGAATTTCAAATAGTTTACACATCATGCTTGGATACAAGACGTGCCAACAAGCAACTGAATCAACATTAATATCTGCTCAAAGACAGAGCAGTCTTATTCTGTATTTTATTCTTTTGTTGCCCCCAAGGAAAATTGGCAGAGGGGAATCAGATGTTCAAAGAGCAAGTTATCTTGCGTTAATGGTAAAAACTTTCAAGCTTCAGACGCACCAGTTATTTCATAAATGCCTCTAAGATGATGATTAATATTTCTACTTGAGATCGTTATGAACTTACTCAGATAGATATGCATCCAAGATTGAGCTCAGCTTCCTCCCAAAACCCTGAACTGGACCAGCATGGACTGCTTGCTCCAAAGCCAACCAATCCTATTTCCAATAAAGATCTTAACCACAAGCAAATGAAACAAATCTTGTTTTACTGAGACAATGGAAATATGCATAAACCTCATCAGATGCCAATAGACTGAACTTCTCATTTGCAATCTCTTCACATCGTACTGTAGCAACCATGACCTAAGAGAAAATATGTTAGATCACTTATATTATCAGAACCTCTATCTTTATCTACTCTATTGAAGATAGAGAGAGAGAGAGAGAGAGAGAGAACCTTGTGGGCTGGGAGATCAAGATCCCTATTTTCTTTAATAACTTTCCATATCTGTTGTGTACTAAAAGAAAATCCAGAGGCAGGAACAACAGCTCTTCTGTCACCAGCAATCCCTCCTGGATATATGGAATTGAAAAACCGCTGCCTTAGTTGTGCAACCTGTATGAAGCAGAACAAACAGTAATGACATGATAAAGTTTACCTGATATAATACCACAGAAATTGAAAAATCAAAATAGAGGAGAGAGTATGCACCCAGGACAAACAACCTGCTCTTTAAATTGTTCTTCCCTCTCTTCAAAGCTGGATAAGGCAGTGACTTCAACCTTCACATTCAAACAAATACAAAAAGAAAAAAGAAATAAAAAAGAGAATCAGATTGATAAAATATATTGTAATTTAGACGAATTCAGAAATGGGACATGAGGCAAACAATTTTCTTACATTGAAAAATTCACTGAGAGGGGTGTCCATGTGGGCCAGAGGCTTTGAAACTGTATCCCATATCTGTATAATCAGTAACCTTCAATAAGACCAGAGTGAAAATGTCCATCCAAGAAGTAAGTTGCTTTTAGATTCTAATATAACTGAGACACAATATTACCTTTTGAATGTCCTCCCTCAGGATAGGTTCCAAATATTCGAAAGGTGTCTACAAGAATCCCAATATAGGCACATTAAATTTTCTCTTGAAAAATACACAAGGATGGCGAAGGCATTGATCACATAAACAGCTATCAGACCTTTGTTTTATCACGTATAACGAATAGAAGTGTCGTTTTTCGCGGACTAAACAGGCGCATCATAACCTGTCAAAAAGGAAGATACAACAACATAAGGCACTGATGCATTCACAAAAGACCATAAACCATATTATATACCTGAAATACAATTTTCAGAAGTGGTTTATTGGAAGCCTGCTCTCGACCAATGTCATGGCACCACCTGCATGTGGACAGAAAGCTAAGTCTTAGTAGCTACCTGGGATTCTAGAATTTGTATTAACAAATTGTATAAGAACCATGAACAACGGTAATGAAAAATGATTAGCCAAGTGAAGCAAAGAAACCAAAATGTAAAATTCCAAGACAACACGGTTTTGAAGAGGACAAGAGATGATCAAGAAGTTACGAAGTCATGAAAGATGTATATGTATATATATGTCTGTATATATGTATATGTGTGCATGTCTGTGTGTGTGATAGTTAGATGCTCAGGATATCATAAAGCATGCTTACAGCAATAGCAGGCCGGGGAGAAAAATGCAGCAGGGCAGGGTTAGAATATTGAGTGGCAGAATAGGTTTTTGCTTCCTTGAATATTACATTCTAAATTTTCAAATAAAATATTTATATAATGGTCAGTTCTAACTTCTAAGGTGAAGAATAGGGTATCAAGATAATCCATGGCATCCATATAATAAACTCAAGAAACTCACATGTTTATTACAACAACATCTGCAACAGCCAAAGCAAATAGTGCACTCTGCTTCTCAAATGTTGTGTCATCCTGGAATCAAAAAATCAACACCTTCAATGAAAATGTGTGATGCATTAATATCTAAAGGTTAAGAACACTAAGAGAAATCTCTACTATGCCATGTGACCTTAATGCTGTCAACATCTTGCATATTTCACCCCCATTCAAGCTATACATGTTTGGCTTCATTCTTAGCTCTAGCTAATAAGATCAGTCCATGCAGTAACCTAGATCATCTCTTCAAATATATGAAGAACAAGCTTAGCAGATCCGTTTTCCTGATTAACTAAAAAGGGAATAAGCTTCCAGACCATGGTCCACCCATTTTGCCAGAGTGATTTGGATATTTATCAAACAAATAACTGCGCTAAGAAACCTTAAAAAGGCATGTCAACTAATAAAATGGGTAGCACTTGCAAAAAAAACATAATAATAATAACAATAATAGTAAGTGGTAGACCATCAATAGTCGTGTCAAGAGTCAAGGACGCCTGTAGACAACTTCTGATATCCAGGCAATTTAAGTTAGTGCTGATACTTTTACACTACTACACCGCACCATCCTCGCTCAAGATTAGCATTCTGAATAACTGCTAAAAGCTATTGTAACTCGCCATATTCACATTGTACTCAAAAATACAGATTTTAAAAAAAAATGAGTGCTTAGAATACAAGATACAAAACGAAAAATTCAGTACCTCGCCCCTCTCGCGGCCATCAGTGCCCTCCAAATCCATCACTACTGTAAAGGGCTCGATACCCACTGCCTTTGCTATCCAAATGCCCTTTGTAGTTTGACTCCTATAACAAAAATTGAACAAAAAAAATCAGAATTAACACAAAATGATATCTTGTGCAAGAAATAGCGCAACTTTCTCTTTCTTTTATACTAATTAAAAAGAAAATCCAACCAAAGCACAAAAAGAGGGGAAATTTTATGAATGTACCTTCCCTTAAAAGCATCCATCTCCCTGAAGTTTGTATAGAATAGATGGTTTAACAGAGTACTCTTCCCTGTTCACATATCCAACTAAACTAGTTTAATCATCAAACAACCCAAAGAAAAATGCCAAATTCAATCTATATCGCTAACAAATAAGCTCATAAATGGCTAAATTAAACCATTAGTAACCAAATGAAACAGAGCAAAAATCAAGAATGATGATATTTACCACTGCTCTGAGGTCCCATAATTGCGACAACAGCATAGGAGAGGCCGCACTGAGAAAACTTCATAGCTTTCATGAACTTCTCCAAACCAACAAAGTTAAATTCGCCGTTGCCGTCGATTAGCTGCGTCGAGCAACAGTTCTTCTCCTCCTCCTCCATCACTAACAACTCCTACTATAGTACCACCACCAGCTCCAGCTTCTCTATCTTCCTCCGTCTCTTCAATCCAACTTCTGTGAAGTTCAAATGGAGTTTTCGGAATCTTTGAGGATTTGAAAAAGGTTGTAGGAGTGAGGTTAAAGGAAAGAATTTGGGAATTGATGAAGATTTTGTTTAGTCGTTTACGAAGTTAAGAAAGAGGGAAGAAAGGTAAAGGAAGGATTATTCTTGAACTGTGTAATGACTTTTTTTTTATCTTAACTTTTTATGTTTATTTTATTTTGTTAATTAATGTATTATTATGATAAATAATGACGTAGGAGTAGGAGTAGCAATTGAGACGGTGCCGAGGCTAAATATACCCCGCCTCATCCCCGCCAAACCATCCGCAAATATATATATATATATATATATATATATTTATATACATATATATAATATTACCCTCGCCTCATCCCCGCCAAGCCACCCGCTAATATATATATATATATATATATATTTATACATTTATATGCACATATATATAATATTTATTTTAATTAGTTATAAACTGATAATAATGATATTATTAGTTATCAATATTATATAACGTATATTAGTATGTGTAATATAATTGATACTATCAATTATATTAAAAATTATACATATCTACTAGTAGAAATTATTTATTAATTATACTAAATTTACTAATATATTTATATTAAATTTCTAATTACACTTAACAAAATAACACTTTTTTTCTCAAAAAAATACAATAATGACTTAGTGATTGTATTTATTACAAAAGTGAAAATTTGACTACTTTAGTAGAATTTATTTCATCATATTGGATTGCATTTAAATAGTTTTTGTTTAATTGTTTTTATGGATTTCAAATGTAAAATTATAATGGATAATGACTTGGTGATATGTTGATATTTTAGTACTTAATTATTTACTAAAATTTGACTACAATAAAATTATATGGTAAATTTTTATTAATCCTGCGAAAGCAAGGCGGGGCAAGGGCAGGGGACGTGGCGGAGACGAGGGCGGGGGGAAGTAGTAGGCAATCCACTCCTGCTCCAAACCCACTCCGTTGTCATTCCTATGATAATGTTAAAATGAGCAATTGCTACCTTTATTAATTACCGAATCATGGTAAATTTTGTAGAAAGAGCTTTAAACTCTTCAAAATTGCTTGAATGAAGGCCCTGATCTTTTCTTCTTAAATTGAAATGTCTAAATGATTTCCTTTTCTTTATTTTTCTTTTATTTTTTGGGATGAACGGATGTTGAGAATAGAAAAAAAAAATTTAGGGAATGAGCTAAATTGAGTTTAATCAGCATAAAGTAGGTAAATAAATTTCAATGATAAAAATTTAAATATATGATCATTGGAGTTGCAAATTATGCTATGCCATGTTTCATGCTTATGAGTTGTGATTAATTGATAGTTGCGAGAAACGAGTTAAAGTCATTAATTGATAGTTTTCATAGAGTCATTAATTCTATCATTCTATATCTAATCATGAAACGAGTTAAATATATATTATTATAGTTTTGAGAAAGTTCATAACAAAATAAAAAATTTTGTTTGAGCTATTTTTTATAGTATTTTCTACAGGCATTTTGATTTGGTGATGGGCACAAGAGAAGTTACGAAATTTTCTTTTCAAAAAAAATTTATGAAAATTTGATTCAGATGTCAATTTGTATCTCAAATTGCAGCTATTGGTATGTCTCTTATTCTGCAACAAATTAGGTACCATATTGCGATTGCAATTTCTGTCTCCGTTTTCGCTTCTGTTTCCCATTTTCACTTCTGATTGCTCTCACTGGGTTTTACAGTTGAAAAAGTCGCGAAGGATGGAGCTGCAGTTAGTAACCCGGGACCGAATGGGGCTGCAGAATCTGGAAATGAGAGGTTTCTTTTAAAGGGTACAGTTTCGAACGTAGTAGCTAAACTTTGGGCTATGATACATGGTTTGAGACTTGATTAGGCAAAGGGATGGAGGAAAGTAGTTTTGGAGTTTGAAACGAGTACGAATCTAGTTAAAGAAGGAAACAACAGAAGCATACATTGGTTATAACCTCTATGACCGACCTTTTACTTTTATTCGTTGCATCAGACTGCACTCCCATCACCGATTCTAAGTTTTCCGGCCAAAGTAATTAAACAGGATACTGCGTGACTAGTGCCCTGTGGGACGGACGCATGCAAACCATGTCACTCGGAAGTAGTAGTATATATAAGATCAAATGTAATGTCTCTATTAACCCACGAGGGTTGTGGGTAGGTATGGTGCTGGCACAAATCAGATACAAAAAGCTGCATTAAGCCTATGATATCTTACTAGGAACGCCCAATATTTTTCTTGTATGGTTCATCATGTGTGCACTTTGTAACGATGACAAGTGAAATCGCTGGTAAATGTATGTTTAGCTAGGGTGAGGGACAAGTCAAATCCCTGGTAAATTTGCTTACTAGCTATTGAATTTGGAATTCTTTTGTTTAACTTATTCAGTACATAAAAAGCTACATATACACAGTGGCGGAGCCAGAAAAAATTTTCATTGGAGGCAAAAGCAATTCTAAAATTTTTTACCTACTCTTTTTTCTAGTTTTTTAAGAAAAAAATATTCACTAACAAGTACAAATGATACATATATTCAATGAAAAATATAAAAAGACAAACTCAAAATTATTAATGTAATAATAATTTTATTTCAAAAAGCAAACTAAACCATTTACAATTGCTTATGATGAGTTTTCATATTTTGATAACGGTTTACAACTTTTTCATTTTGAATTTTATGAAGTATATTTTTCTCAATATAAGTAACTAAACAATTATTCATCCAAGTGTTTTCCATTCTATTTTGTAACCGATTTTTCACTATATTCATAACTGAAAAAACCCTTTTTACAGTAGTTGTAACAACAGGTAAAATCAAAGACAACTCTAGGAGTATATAAATCAATGGATACACAAAACTCCAAGGGGCACACTTAAAATTATATCAAATTTTTATGAGTATTATAGAAATTCAAGGGAGGCAATGAGGCCCCTGCCCCCTGTGTAAATCCGCCCCTGCATATACATCAACTAAATATATATTGTATGCGGTGAATTATTACAACATAGGCAGGAAAGGTTGTAACGAAACTCACAAGATGAGACATGATTATATTTGAATTAGAAATTGATGATTGACTGAGCGTGCATTGATAACCCATGGTGAAATACTTCCTAATGAATTTGAAGCTACTTTTTTTTTTTTTCCGGTTTGGGGTGTCCGAGCCTACGCCCGACTAGTCCCCCAATCCCGAGGAGAGCGGGTCCCACCTATCCTCAGGAAATTACGCCGAGTTGTTGAGTTCGGGATCGAACTCAGGCCGTCTCACCTTAATGAGGGTTACACGATCACCCGAGCAACCCGTCGGGGGCATGAATTTGAAGCTACTTGAAGATGCGTTTTCAACTACTCAATAGTTTCTATCGAGTAACTAAAGTGTTACAATCTAATAGATTAAAACCTGTAATTTTATAAAATTACAACTTTTAATGCATGATGTAACAGATAACAAATCATCTAAAGTAAATTTCACCGTGTTGTGAACGAAACTTTATTCTCTATTTAATCATGTACCGCATGCAAATAGGAGAAAGCTTTCTTTTTCGTTTCTTCATGAATGAACCATGAATTTGATATCACCTCCAAAACTAACTGCATGAATGACACTAGAAATTTTACTATTAATATTAATTATGGTAGTTCATGGCTTCCAATCTCCAATGGCCTAAGTGGATCATCCTTGTGAAAGCACCAAGGAAGTGCAAAAGAGATGGACTTCTGTCAGTTGAGGAAGGCCAAAATGATTAATTTGGGCATTTTTGGGCTTAGGGGTGGGTCCTGGTGTGCGTCTGGTTGTTGAGGCCCTTGCCACTTGGGCCCCCATCCCACTTAATACTGATTATCTTCCTTTTAATAAGTTTTTAATATTGATAATCTTAACTATCCCTTATACAATTTTCTGATTTATTTTTGGAGAAATACTGCTAAATTTAACATTTAAATTATTGATAAATGACATCAAACAAGCTGAAATTAATCTTTTGAGTGCCAAAAACTCCTCCTCTCTAGAGGTAAAAAACTTAGGCCCGTATGGATTCATACTTTTTTTTCAAAAACTAGTTTTATTTTTTAGGCCACAGTAACACTCAATTAACGCACACAATTTCTAATACAACTTATTCAAAAAATATTTTAATTAAATCTTACCATATTTTCACCCATTACCACTATCCACCAACACCACCACCTCTCCCCTACTTCTTCTCCTCCACCTCTACTGCCACCATCATCGCCACATTTTCCCCTCATCTCTCCTTCCTCTTCCTCGTTCCTCTTCTCCTCCCTTCCCCTCTGCGCCCTTTTGCCTACTCTGGTCGCATGATGTAGTGGCATTTTCATGGGAGTGTATATACCTAATCCATACGAAACCTTTGTATTTTCATTTAAGAAATCTTTGTCCAAGTTTATTTGTTTGTCACTTTTAAATTGCATTTTTTTATAGTGAAGTAGATGTAGATATATAAAGAACTATCTGGTTCTTTAAGGGAAAAGGTTGGGTTGGATAGCAAGGGAAGAGGAATTGTAAGTATGAGATATTGAATTCAACCCCACCCACTTAAAAAAAATGGTTCCTTAAATTTAATTTTGTCTTACGTACAATGAATTTTTGAAAAATTATGGCTAAATTATTTGTTTTTTTAAAAGTGAAATTTTTTTGAAAGAAAAGGACACATAAGTTTTCTCACATATTTTTTAAAACAAAAAGCAAATTTTTCTGACACAACTTTACCCAAATATAAAAAGTTCTCACACATTTGAGTATATTCACAAATTACAAATATAATAAAATGTTTAGTGGCAAAAAATGTAAAATATACCAAAAAAGTATCATATCTAAGACTAATTATAGAGAACGATACATATCATATATATATATATATATATATATATATATATATATAATAAAGTCGTATTCTCATTCTTATCCCTTCATGTTTTCTCTTTCCTACGTGGCTTAACGAGACGGCAAGTAGTTTCCTACGTGGTTTACTCCTTTTTTGTATAGATATATATCAATTCGTATTTCTTATAAGATTTCTTAATATTATATGATTCTTATTTCTTACCCAAAAAAAGAACTAGAAAGTAATGCGATATAAATAAAAGAGACATAAATATCTCTATTAGATATATCTCCAAATTCATGCCAATAATTTGTGTACTGCGTAGGGAACCGAAGTAAATAAGAATTGTTATTACTACAAGAAGTAGAAAAGTAACTAATTTCAAAAGGAACCATTAATAATAGAAGTCAATATCTATATTGGAAATAAGATTCTTAATAAATTTTATTATTAAGTGCGTTATCAAAACATAGTGCATAGCACGAAATTTATGGAAAAGAAAAGTTAATTGAATCCAATTAACAATATGTATTTGACCCATACGGTCAAACATAAATTCCTATTTGAGTACGGGTTTGTAAATTCTTATAAATCCGTTCGTTGTTAATCAAAACATGCAGGTTATACTCATTACTAGGTTATAGAATTTACAATACATCTCTGCCCAGATGGTGGGGAGTATTTAGTGTGTGGACCTACATCATAGGAGTCTATGCACTTAAAGGACTTGATATAGTTGAAGTGGTCTTTCAAGGTAGTTATAACAATTCTTATTTACTTCGGTTCCGACGCAGTACACAAATTATTGGCATGAATTTGGAGATATATCTAATAGAGATATTTATGTCTCTTTTATTTACATCGCATTACTTTCCAGTTCTTTTTTTGGGTAGGATATAAGAATCATATAATATTAAGAATTTTTATAGGAAATAAGAATTGATATATATCTAAACAAAAAAGGAGCAAGCCACGTAGGAAAGAGAAAACATGAAGGGATAAGAATGAGAATACGACTTTATTATATATATATATATATATATATATATATATATATATGATTTGTCCTTTTGCATATAAGCCAAGAAGAAAATTAATTGTGTTACTATTGTTTGGACGGGAGATTATTTGTCAAAATATATTTACTTACATCATCATTATAATTTTCAACACACTTTTTTATCTTTTCAATTATCTTTTTATCTCACACACATCACATCACAAAAAGTGCTACAGTAAAAATATCTCAAATAATATACAATCCAAATAATCAGAAGTTAATTTTATATACATTATTATGATTGCATGCATGACATATATATTAATATATATAATTTAGATTTTAAATTTAAATTTAAATTAATTTCTATACAATGATGATAGTATATATATATATATATATATTTTTTATTCAAGATTAATTCTTATTATTATCGCTGTTGTTACAATTTTGAAGTCTGTTGCTTGCTCCCTCATAAGGGGTTGGGGCGAAGGCCGATGCCTTTAGAATATCAGACCATTTCGTACGATAATCTTCTCGGATCTTCTCAATTCCAACTAACTCTGCATATAAATGAGCCTGGTGCGCCCAACAAGTACATTGATGGCCACATACAAAGACAGGTTGTGAAATTACTAAAACAGCCCTGGTCTTTGTACCCCAAAATGCAGCAGGCTAGCGTCCAAATACTAAGAACGACAATGACGTGTCAGAGGCGGTAGTGATGGGGCCCAGTGAACCGTCCTCCCTTGGTCAAACCTCGAGAAGCCAGTCAAAGAAGCTCTGCAGCTGTGGGCCCTAGTGATGTCCTAGCTGGCAGATAAAAAGTCGGAAAAGGTCGCTGACGTGGCTCACCAGTCTTTTAGTGCCTTGAGGGACAAAACTAGCGTCTGTATATTTCCCAAAAGGACAAAATTGTCCCCCTTCTCCTGCAACTCCCTAGTTTAGGGTTGGTGTGTATATAGTTTGAGATCCCAAAAAAAGAAAGGATGGCATTATTATAATTTCAATGCAAATCCGGGGTGATTTTAGTCTTTGTGGAGACCTTGATCCAGTTTGAATTGCTATTTTTTTTAAATTTTTATATAAAAATACATAATTATTTGATATATATGAAATAAGAAGATAAATAGAAAATATGTTCACGAAAAATATAAAAACTTTTCTTATACAGCTTTTTTAAAAGGGTAATAACTTTTTGCACGGGAGACACGAGCATTCTTGAAGCTAATCTAATGATTAGGATGATATTTAGTACTCTCATACATTCTTTTAATGAAGATTTCCCCTAGCTAGGTCTTTTTAATGATACTTTTACTTTACCACGTACGAAGTTATTAAGCAGCTTTAAATTGAATGGTCAGTATGGTACCACATGGGTAGATGATAGTTTGTTTCTTCTTTCAATCGTGCATTGTCTTTATGAAATGGCTCTAAAAATGAAAATGAGATTTGGGAAAAAGTAGCTTGTAGACGACAAATTTTGGGGGAGTATTGACTAACAAGAGCAAGTCGAAATGCATCCATACATATAGTACGAGGAAACATTAATAGTTGGATATGGATTTTTATTCAAAATATTGTTTGACTTGCGTCGTAAATATGTTTTTCAACCAATTTTTTATATTTTTAATTATTTTTTTATCTCACGTATATCATATCACAAAAAATGTTATAATGCTATTTCAAATACTTTTTCTAAATAATCTCCAATCCAAACACATTAGGATTATCTTTCTTATAATTATTTTGACTTCGTTTGGATTGGAAATAATTTGAAATTTTTATTATTTAATGTAGCACATTTATGATGTATGTAAGATTCAAAAAATAAATTTTTCCCGTGAATAAGAAGGATAAAATCAATTTTCCTTCAAAAAAAAGGATAACAATATAAGTAAATCTTATATACACTGACAAAATATATACAACATTATCGTTGGATCCATGGTATGTGTGCAAAAATTGCAAATTTAAATTTCATGTAATTGTCATTTATCCAACATTAACAATGTATACGTAGAAAAAATTAATCCTAACAATATTTAAACCAATAAAGATTTCCTAAGCTTTTTTTGTTTTCCTTTTCCTTAGATTTCTAGAGTTTTGTCTTTGAATTATTTACCTTGGCTTCACTAGGTTATGTTTTCTTCTCTTTCTTGTTTGGATAGTGATTTTCCACAAAAAAAAAAAAAATTTTACACTTTCCGTGAACACATTTTTTAATTATTTTTTTTATTTCACATATCTCAAATCACCACAATACATTTTTTATTTTTACAAAAACTCCTAAAAACAGCAATCCAAACAGGCATGCGTTTGCAAAATCATTCGCAAAAGTAGCTGCTTTTTAGATTTCAAATATGCTCTTTATGTAATATGTGTCTCTTTGCACAAGGGTTCCATCAACAAAATTCGCTCTACTGATGGAGAAAAGTAAGACCCTTATTTTGCTTGTTTTGGTTTGGCATAGTTGATTGAACTTGGAAATGAAGAAAACTCAACATTGTCTAACGAAAACTTTTTACTTTTTTCATGAATATATTTTCAATCATTTTTTCATCTTATATATCTCAAATTGCTATAATACTTTTTTTTTTTAACAAAAATTCCAAAAAATAGTAATTCAAACAACTGTCCTTTAACTTTTCATTCAGTGGTTCTTTTCTTTGGACCCAAAAAAAAGGGCTTTTATGAAGTGGTTATTCTACATTCACCACATTGTCCTCGCTCACTTCATTGCAGGGTTGGGATACAGAAAACAATTAGAAATTATAACCAAAAAACTTTTTGGTAAGCAATTTTGCAGTTGTGTTTAGCTCCGTACCAACCAGAAGGGCATTATAGCATCTTGCGAGTTGCGGCAGCCTTCATAAAGCCGAGATGCGAGCAATAAATACAAGTTAGAAAGAGAGAGTCTTAATCGAAATTAATATATCTCAACGGGCCATATGAAATGACAATGGGCAAGTTGTCCTAGTTTCCATCGTATATACCTTTGAGAAAATTATTTTTATTTTGAAAAAAAAAATTGGCAAGAAAAAATGTTATGGCCAGACAAGTCATAATAACTAAGCATTTTTCAACTGTTTATATTGGTAACTACTGATTGTCATGAAACTGGAACCCAAGTCTTACTAATTTAGCCAAATTGCCTATTTTTTTGCTTTTGCTAGACAACCTTCAAGTTTTCTCTGATTGGAGAAAGAATATTGTACATAGAAATATTTGTTTGTATTGTGATTTTTCGCAGAAAAATTTTTACGTTTTTCTTGAATATATTTTTTAATTATTTTTTTATTTTACATACATCATATCATTACAGTACATTTTTTTTTATATAAAAACTCCTAAAAATAACAATCCAAATGTAGATAATTATAGATTGCAATTTTCTATCAGAAAATTTTGTATATTGTTTGTGACTATATTTTTTAATCACTGTTTTATTTCATATATATTAGATCATTATAGTGCATTTTTTAATAAAAACTGCACAAAAAAAATAACAATCAAAACGGATAATTTAGCACAACTTGAATCAAAAGGTTGAAGAAAATTTTTGTTCATGGGGTAGAGACTCCAAAAAAGGTCACACGGTGATGATTATTCCAATTCCCAAAATTCTTTCATTAATACTACACCGTTGCTACTATAATGTGATATCAATGATAATTGCTGCATGGTTTGTGGAAGACCTGAATGAACCTTAATAATATACCAAAATGTACTACAATATTTTTACGTTAGGCTTTATTATTCACCCATCTTTTCTGAAAGACAGTCATCATACTGGACTGGTGGTTATGATTGCTGCTGGCTTGGCCACGTGTTTGATGATGGTACTCAAAAGAATTCTGAGTCTCTCCCATGCAGGCAGCAATTGCCCTTCTTCCCTCTCTCTCTCCATCTCTCACCGTCTCTCTCTCTCTCTCTGTGAAAGTTTTTGGGGGTTGTGGATATGTCAGGTTGAATGGATTCTTTTGGCCTTTTCTTATAATGGTATGCATTCTACCCCTACAAAACTTCTCTTTCTCTCTCCCTTTCTGTCCCAGCGCTCCAAGCAGGGGAGTAGTGGATTGAATCAGTAGTTTTAGATTTCAACTTTAAGCTTTCAAGATATTTGAAGATTTTAAGGGGGTGGAGTGGACTCTTGCAGAGCCTTGCAACAGATACCAAAGTTCAATAAAAGATGTCCAGCCAAATTTAAAGAAAGTTGGAACAAGATAGTGGGATTACAGGCAACATCTTAGCTTAGCTTTATAGTTTATGGTATACTCATCATCATTAGCTTATGCAGCTATGCAAGAGCCAATAAGCCATATCATAACTATAGCATGAAGGTTTGTTCAAACATGCAAATTTTTTGCAACCAAGAAAACTTAACCAAAATCCTATGTCCATGTTTGGCTGGTTTTGGTTCACCCCATTTGACCCTTTTGCCCATATTAGCATTCTGATCAACTCTTTTATTGTCGGAACTTTAAAGTTTCCATTCCATCAAGATCAAACATCCTGTACAGTACCACAAAGAAAGAGGGGAGAAAGAAAAAAGTGAGATATAAAGGGCCTCTATCTTTTCAGTTTCACCTCTTCCACAGAGTAGTACTGAGATATTTCATATTACTGTCTATCTTTTTCTTTTATCTCTCTCTCTTTCTCTCAATGCTTTGTTGTTGGTCTTTTTCATGCATATAGTGATGGCTAATCAAGGTGGTAATAATGTGCTGAGAGACTACAGGAAAGGGAACTGGACAGTCCAAGAGACAATGGTTCTTATAGAGGCAAAGAGGATGGATGATGAGAGAAGAATGAAGAGGCAAGGTGACAGTGTTGGTGGTGAAAAACCAGGAGGAAAACCAGCTGAGCTGAGATGGAAATGGGTAGAGGACTATTGCTGGAGGAATGGTTGCTTGAGAAGCCAAAACCAGTGCAATGACAAGTGGGATAATCTCATGAGGGATTTCAAGAAAGTAAGAGAATATGAGAGGAGATTGGCTGATCATCAGAAGCAGCTTATTACTATTGGAGAATCGTCTTCGGAAAGAGAAAGATCAGATGAAAAATCGTATTGGAAGCTGGAGAAAAATGAGAGGAAAGCTAACAACTTGCCATCAAATTTGTTGCCTCAGATATATGATGCATTGGTTGAGGTAGTGGAGAGAAAAGTTCAAAGGGGATCAGTGGTTGGTCTTGTTGGTGCCGGTGGGACTACTGCTTCTATTCCCAATGTGCCGCCTTCTTCAGCTGCTGCTCTTGTAGGTCAGCCTTCTTCATTGCCTCCTTCAATGCAACATCTTCCCATCTCACCTCCAGTTTCAGCATTGCCACTTCCCCCTCCTGTAGTGGCTCAAACACCAGTTCAACAACAACAACAACATCCCCACACTCATCCATTTTCTCAGCAGTTGCCCACAGTAGGTATTCTTCCTTCCTTCCTCCCACTCTTTTCCCCTTTCTTTCACACACACCAAAGTATACACATTTTTCATAGTCCTTTTGTCAAGGGACCACTTTTAAGTTCCGAACTGCATTTGCCAATAATGATAGTTAAATCAGGTTTTTTCTCTCTTGCCATTGGTAATTAGCATGTTTTAATGGTATTCCATGTTAGTAACTTTACCATTTCTTTCTGATCACATGTGTGCATTATCCTGTTTATTTTGTAGTGTTGCAATGGAGGGAAGGGGGAGGGGGGGGGGTTTATTAGAATTATACCGTTGCCTATGAATAGCTCAATCCCGTTTTAATGGAATTCCATCTTACAGATTTTTACCATTTTTCCTGATCACTTTAGGATAGTTATCATGTGCTGCTATGTAGAGAGGTTGATTAATTAGAAGTTCACTTTTTTCCTATGATCTAATTAATGAACAAATATTGAATGAAACAGCCCCTGTTGAATAGCATTATTCGATTTTCATTTATGTTTCTTTCCATGGTTTTCTATGTGTAACAAGGGGAAGTGATAAATTAACATTACATTATCAAATGTTGTTTTCACCATCCTAAACTTAGTAATTCTTGGAGGTTAACGTAGTGAATGCAATTAACTACCTTAAGTTAGAAATACTAGTATCAATCCAGTGGTTTGGAAATGCTTATGTTTTTGACATGTGATAGTCAGATTCTGATACGAGTGAGCATTCAGACTCACCAGCAAAGAGGAGAAGAAGAGGGGAAGGGACCAGTGGGGGAGCAAGTGGTAGCGAATCACATGAAGTTGGCACTGCAATTTCTAGGAGTGCTTCTGTGATAGCAGAAACCATCCAAGCTTGTGAGGAAAGAGAAGAAAGAAGGCACAGAGAACTATTGAGCTTGCATGAGAGAAGATTGCAAATTGAGGAATCAAAGGCTGAGATCAGTAGACAAGGCATTAATGGACTGGTTGATGCAGTAAACAAACTTGCCAATTCTATTCTTGCTTTGGCTTCTCACAAAACCCAATCAACTCCAAAATAGTTACACTAGCTTATATTTAATTGAACATCAATTAATATTTCATCATCAAGATAGAGTATTTAATTGCATAGGGAGCAAGAAAGAGGGAGAGAGACATTATTAAGATTATCTAATTGGTTTGTACATAGTTTTGATCAAATTGATGGCCATATATGTAACTTGATTACATAGACTTGGGTGTTATTGTAAAAATATTCATGAATGAAACTAAGCAAGCCATTCTTTTGGGGTTGATTTCTTTCTTTTTTTTTTTTTTGGGTGAGTTTATAATAAGTTTCCACAATCTCTAGACATATTTACCAACATGTTGTTTTGCTATACAAAATGAATATCAGTAACATGTTGCTTTGGTATACAAGATCAAAATTGGTCTGGATAGAGCCAAAGTCTACCAGGCAAGAAAATGGCAACCCAATGTTGGCAATTTCTCTAGGCACCTATGCAACACTAATTGCATATGTGGAGAAAGTCAATTGGTAAAAACGTTCATCAAACTGATTAGTGAATTAAAGTTACCAACAATATTCCCATTAATGTTTTGTGTGTCCAGAAGTAACCAATTTATAAGATAAGATAAGCTATTTGATGATAAAGTGAAACAAGAAAGAAAGAAAAAGAAAGAAAAGAAGAAAAAATTCTAAGTGAAGTGATGATGTATAAACAGTATATTGATATGGAATTTTATGCTACTGACGAGAAGTTCTGAGCAACATGTGTGTGGGTGGGATGGCAAAGCCCCAAAGACTGGTCAAAGGGATCCAGTCAATGATCTCTGGGGTTGGCCAGGCAGGACTACCATTACGAAGTGGCCATTTATGTGTTATTATTGGTGTCAGTCTTGTGAAGGCTGTGCAATGAAAAGGTTGTGCTTTCCCTTTCCCATCACAGGACTGAAGAGAGGAGTTAATACTGGCTCCAATCTTGTAAGCCCTAGTTTACCTTTTCTGACAAAAAGGAACTCAGTTACTGGACCTTTTCCTTTAGGGGTATCCAATCCATTTTTTCCTTTTTCATTGCAAATTCTACACTTTCGAGTTTTGCCCCATTGTGCTTGTGTAGGTCGTGTGTGCAGTGTTGTGTGATGTTTTCTGCTTTCTTCTTTCTTTTTTTTTTTGTCAATTGTATAATATGAAAGTGATTGAAAAATATGTGAAAGACATATTCACAGAAACGTAAATTTTTAATCTAAAAATTAGCAATCTAAACAAGTTTAGGGTGCAACAGAGTCGAGCCCACTCTCAAACATGATTAACCATTCACATTAAGTAGCTCAGTTTGATGCTTGAGCCCGAGCCGAGTTGAAGTCCAAGAAAATTCTTCTTGAAATCGAGCTTATTAGCTGAAATATAACCCTATGATTGTATGCTGAAATAACAGAATTCATTAATAATTAGTATACTTGATATGGTACGAAAAGATTTTGATGGGACAGTTAAGTGTTGAAAGCTATCGAAAGATTAGGTAATCCAAATACCAAAGTAAATGCTAATCCGAATTTGAACCTCTCTGGGATATTCGATCGTCGCACAGGGCTTGTCTAGTGCATCTTATCCCTTAATGTGGTTAGCAGTTTATTATACGAGATGAAATTTATTTAATGCATATTCTCGCGTAGCGATTGCGGTTCCCTTGTTAAAAAAAAAATTTATTGGAAAGAACGAAATAATTAATTAGCTCAAAGAGTCAAGTACAAGGTTAGTTAACCGTTATTGCTTTGGGTTTCCCCGATGGCTGTACACACAAGCAAGCAATTAAAATTGTTCTTTTAAATTGGGTGTGTAAGAGTTTTGATCACAGGAAGTACTCCAAAAATTGTGTGCGCTGCTATGTATTTGCACTTCTCCATATATTTTCTCATGAAAAATTTTCCAATAAATTGTCTAATCACCTTGCATGCTTATTAAATTTGTATTATGTCGATAAATATATGGTCACCAAATATTTTCAAAATTTCATCTAGATCACTATACTTCTTTTTTTGTGTCAAATAACCCGTTAGACTCTTGAAATTGCTGAATTTCGACCACTTCGTCTAATAAAATCGGTTAAATCAAGCAATATATGACACACATGAGGCATTTGCTACAAACGTCAAGGCTCCATTGACATTTCACTGGAATAAAATTAGACTACACAATGGATCTAAATTGTAAAACTATGGAATATTGGGGTTAAAAGTACAAGAGAAGAAAACTTTGGGGGACTTGACTATAATTCTCAAAACACACGTTCATTGTCTAGCAACCGAAAACGTCTCTTCTTGCTCTTGTTTTCACTGCGCAAACACGGACACAGTTACCATTTACTAAATTAATTTCTCCCTTCGGTATTTTTATACACATTTGACAGGCATAATTAACCCAACAGTTTTAGGTTTTACACAAGTTAAAATTTGCTAGAAAAATGTTGATCTTTTGATGAAATTGAATTTGATTCATGTCAAATATATGTTTGTTGGGTGGATATGATGATTTTAATGTAATTATGGTTGGTTTTGTACATAATTAGAAAAAAAAGGCCTAAAAAGAAAGTTAATCACTTGTAGAAGATGGTAAAAAGTAACCTCGAGTTATGTTCATCATGAGTTACTAAAATATATCGTAGATATGATGTGCATGTCATGTACAGCAAATTCCACGTTAATTAACCAATTTATTAGATGGAATGGTCAAAATGAATCATTTTAGGAGTTTAGTGGGTTAATTGATGCTAAAAAAAAGATAAAGTAGATTAAATAAGATCTTAAAAATGTTTAGTAAACTACGGTGCAATTGACCCAAAATATGATTCAAATAGAGCTAACCCTGCAAAGTGTCTTGACTTTAATCACCTCATTAATGCTTATTGACTACGTTAAACTTTGGTTCTTTGAAAACGAGTGTTGAATATCCAGACTTCCTTTACCAACAAATCAAATTCAAACTTGACTGTAAAACATCTAGATGCAATAAATTGGATTCAATCGAAATTTTCAACGAGAAAAGAACTATCTTTCTGATTGATTTATTCCAAATGGAGCTTTCAACTAGGAAAATAATACCAACCCCCTTTCCTGAATGCTTTTTGGCTTGCATTTATGGGCATGCAATGTCTGGATTGCATCCCGAGATACATAGTACTATTTACTAATATATTAAGTCCAACATCCCAAGGCTGAAAAGGTTTTCTCCTTGCAACTGGTTCTGTCTATCATGCTTTTTTTTTTTTCCGGACACGACAATTATCGTATAACTTATTTATCCTAGATTACAGGGGAGGGGAGCCTAAAGAGGCTGTGTTTGGGACTAGCATGTTTTATCTATCATGCTATTGCAGTAAAAATGCCCCATTTGTAATTCCCATTTGCATGGATTCAGAGTTTTCTGATCTCCTGTAGCAATAGTTTCTGAATACACAGAAACAAGATTAAAGAAACTTCCATGCATGTATGACTTCCTATAACATAATAATGAGTTTCAGTGTATGTAGAACTTGAATCTTCATATTGGACATGATCATAAATCTCTTTGACCGAAATTTAACTATAGCTTGCTATACTAGGGCGAAAAATTGAATATGATGAATAAGTTTTTAGAATTTGCCAACCTAGGGTTTTTTGAGTGCTAGTATTCAAATTGTTTCATGTATTTCATTAATTACTGGTTAATTGTGATCCTTCGAAATTAATCTTTCTTCTCAAACCATGTGGACTAACATGAACTTAATGACATGTGAATTGCAATTGTGTCTTGTCTCTAGATTACTTAATCTGAGTTATTTGAGAACTAATTGCTCAAGAATTGATATTAACAAATAGCACAACTCAAACAACTAAAGGAAACTAGATTAGGGCCAAAAAAAGAAAACCAAGAATCCAAAAATATGAGAATGGAAGCTTCATCTTCTAGGCTTTTATGGTGAATTGGAGGGTTAGCCGATTAGGAAATTCTTGAAAACTACATGCAATTATTAAAGGGCCCTTATCATTAAAGAATTGTTTGAAACAGGAGGCTACTTTCAGATTTGGCTCGTACAAAGCATAGATTGAGTAGCCAATAATACATCCAAAATAGACCTAACATGCTATGGTAGACTAGTAATAGCTGATATATAGTTGGCTTTTATCATTAGAAGCCATTAAAAGGTGCTGAAGAGCATTCTGGTGTTCATATTGGCTAGACGTAGAGCCTGCATTGATGTTTAATCTTTACCTTTTTTCTAAACATTTCAATGCCTTGTCTTAAAGGCCCTGTTTGAACCGCAAATTGCTACGTTTTCCGTGAACACATTTTTCTATCACATTTTTATCTCATTTATATCAAATTGCTACAGTAATTTTTTTTTACAAAAAAATTCAGAAAAATGCAATCCAAACAAGGCATTTATTAAGTCCATCAAGTGATGTATTGTAAATCAAGTACAAAATGTTTCAAATCCTTTCACGTACACTGAAAAAAGAAAAATCTTAAAAGAGTTGCTTCAAATCGGGTGTGTTTTAAATTTTTAACGGCAAAAACTTAAAAATTGTGTTTAGCATGTAAGTTCAACAATATTTTTATAAATTATGGTAAACCAAGCAAACCCCTTATTTTTTTTAGTAGATCTACAATAGACGAGTGTTGGTATGATATTTGGTTAGATGGCCCTATGTGATAAACATGGTACAAGAGTGGGAGGGTTGTAAAATTGTATGGCAAGTACTCACAACTCAACTTACAAGGACGCATTAGGCAGAAGGTACCCGATCCTTGTCCTGGATGCATAGTGTCGGTGTCAACTTGTTTTGCATGTGTTCAATGTTGGAATGTGTTTTTCTTTCAAAAAAAAAAAAATGTTGGAATGTGTTTTTGATGTTTGGGACTCATTCCTATTCGGTTCTTTAAATTAGGGTTCAATTTCCGTTGCCGATAGTGTGCCCACCACTATAGGTGGCAAACAAACCCATTTATTTAAATTTACCCATACTCGCCTATGAATAGATGGGTATAGGTATTTAAAATTTTTGCAAATGGGTATAAATGGGTTACCCAATAATACCTATTTATTAAATGAGTATTATTGGGTAACCCATCAAATCCAATTAACTCATTTAGAATTAAGTAAATATTTAAAACTAATAATTGGTGCAAAGGGTAGTATAAATTGATAACTTAGTTTGCAAAAATGAATTTAAATGAGTTTACAAAAAGTTAAAATAAATGAGTTATAAATGGGTAATTGGGTTATCCAATTCATATTTTAAC